AAGTTGTAATAATAAAAATTTTAAAATGGCAAATTCGTCAGATTTGAAACTAATACTAGATGCTATACCAACTTATAATGGTAATCCTAAAACTTTGGTCCAATTTATTATCAAATAATATTATAAAAGTGAAAGAAATAAACACTTTATTGAAAAGTGTACAAAATGTTTCTACTTTACAGCGACAATTAGTGTTCCTACACATAAGAAACAAATTGTCAGACAAAGCTAACGAGTCTATAAGAAATATTCAATTCACTACTTGGGAACAATTGAAAACACACTTGATAAATAACTTTTCAGATATTCAAGATCCGGCGAGTTTAATCATACACATGAGGCATAATATGAACAAAAACATTAACTTCACTCCCTGAAATTCGAAAAAAAATCGATCTCTTCCGGCCGAAAATAAATATTTTAGAAGGCACAGAAGCCAACAAAAGTAACCTAATTCAATTTCAAGAATTAGTAATATGCAACAATTTCATAAGTTCGCTGAAAAATTCTTTACGAAACAACTTAGGGACCAGGAACCGGAAAACTGTTATAAATTGAAAGATTGCTAGTTAATTGCTAGTTCCAATGCAAAAATTATGAACCACACACACAGTCATCTCATTTAAAACCTTTAAAAACATTTCAGAATCCTCATCCCAAGAAAATTTTTAACACAAATTTCCCAACTGGACCTGTGAATATAACACAAAGACTCTTTAACCCCCAAAGAAAATTTGCACCAAGAATGCCAATAACCAACACACAAAATCCACACCGATATCAACACAAACGACAGAAAACTGGCAAAGAAATAGACATCCCAACAATTACTTTACGCAACAGAACGCCAAATTCGGTCTACACCTAATTATATAACGTTCATATAAGCGAAAAATCACCTAAAATGAAACAACCGGACGACTCATTTTTTAGAGGTTCCCGAACACTACCCAAATTTCGGATGATGACAAACTGAGACATAGTTCGTCTCCCGTACATCAAATTACCTAAGTACAATTTAAAAATGTTATTAGATAGCGGAAGTACTACATCATTTATCATTCCTAACAGCATTCAAACACTTTAAAGACAACGTAATTAGTATTGCTATTGCACACGCGACAACAATATGAAATTTTAGCACAATTGTATCTTGGGACAAATTGTGTAATATAGACAATTTAAAATTAAAGTTTCGATTATTTGAATTTCACAACCAATTTGATATGTTGATAGGTTTAGATACTCTTAAAAAGCTCAATGCTCGTATTGATTTTAAAGAAAGTAAGTTAAACACACACACTGATATACAAATCTTTTACTTTGATCCCCCTCAGGAATCACCAAAAATGTATCAAATACAAGCGAAAAATGAACAAGTAATACGAGTTCCAATAAAAAATGTTCAATCTGGACATGCAATTATTCCGCACATCATATCTAATGACTTAGAAATTAATGAGTGTCTTGTAAAAGTGGAGAACCACCGAACCTTATGCATTATCAAAAACAATAGTGATTCACATAAACACGTACGATTACAGAACCCGTTAAACTCGACAACAGTCAGCCATGGAGAAATATTAGTATTATCAAATCAAAGAAATAAAGACAAAACCCAACACCACATTAACTTGGCGAAAATCAGGACGGATCACATGAAAACAGAAGAAAAACTAGCTATAGAACAATTGACAAAAGAATTTAGCTACATATTTCATCAAGAAGGCACACCTCTAACATTCACCAACAACATAAAACATTTAATAAGAACGAAAGACGAGGTACCATTCTACACTAAATCCTATAAATATCCTGAGATATATAAAACGTTTTTAAAAACGAAGATCTCGAATAATTATCCGTAATTTATATATACAGGGTGAGCCATTTTTTGACGCACCATTGGAAAATCAACGCGGGTGCGTTTAAATCTGACTCGAGGCTTATTTCCTTTGATTAATACGTTAATAAAAGAAAGTGAGTCAATTTTCAGTGCACCATAGGAAAATCAACGTGGGTGCGTTTAAATCTGACTCAAGGCCAATTTCTTTTGATTTTAACATTAAAAAAAGGAAGTGAGTCAATTTTCGGTGCACCATAAGAAAATCAAGGTTGGTGCGTCTAATTATGACTCGGCACATTTTATTTTGTTAGTCTCGTACCAAAAAATAGGCGAGTCCCTTTTCGACGCACCATTCGTTACAAATTAATTTTAGTAGGTTGGAAGGAAAATAAACAAAACCAATATTAAAAAAACATTATTCAAACACAATGTAAAAATTTAAAAAAAAATCTTCACAAATTAATTTGATCAAGGTTTAAGAGAATTTTTTTCTGGTAAAGTAAAAAAAATAAATAAATATAACAATCTCCTTTTTTCTGGTAAAGTAAAAAAATTTAAATAAATGTAACAATCTCCTTTGTTAGCAAATCAAAAATGTTCAAAATCATTATAATAATAGTTCGAACAGACCTCCATTTGCTGCAACACAGTAGCCTAGTCTATCGTAAAACGATGATCGGACGAAAAAAAAATACTCTTAAACCTTAATCAGATTAATTTGTGAATAATTTTTTTTTAATTTTTACATTGTGTTTGAATAATGTTTTAATAATGCTGGTTTTGTTTATTTTCCTTCCAACCTACTAAAACTAATTTGAAACGAATGATGCGTCGAAAAGTGACTCGCCTATTTTTTGGTACGAGACTAACAAAATAAAATGTGCCGAGTCATAATTAGACGCACCAACCTTGATTTTCCTATGGTGCACCGAAAATTGACTCACTTTCTTTTATTAACGTATTAATCAAAGGAAATAAGCCTCGAGTCAGATTTAAACGTACCGGCGTTGATTTTCCAATGGTGTATCAAAAAATTACTCACCCTGTATATAGGGACATTGCAATCTACGACTGTTGGAATGTTTAATGTCCACGTATTATTTGCTTTTCTAAGCGTTATTTTGGTTTAATTCATAATACGAATAAATGATAATACACATACATTATGATATACATATTATTTAAAGTTGTAAGTAAGAAAGAGTATTTGATTTTATCGAATCAAGGAAATCGGTGAAAATGCTTTTCCACGGTTAGTTAACTATTAATTTTTTTGTTACTTTTCCTCGTTTTTTGTCGAATTCTCATCTCGTTTTGGTCGAGAGTGATGATTGCGTGATTTTGATCCGCTGACAAGCACGACATTTCTAGTTGCAAGTTCGAACGCAAACCTTATCTCAGCCCCTCCCTTAAAAAGTTATACCAACTCCCTAATTAGATTTTCAAGATCGGAAAAGAAATGGAGATAGCGGCGGAGGAAGAAACATTAACGAGTTTAAATTGATAAAAACAACCGTATTAATTATGAACACTTTATCTTTGTAAATTCATTCGTCAGCGTGGCAAGTTTGTTTGTCGAAACATTTGCTCAGTCTGTTCAAAATAATTTTTGTTAAGAAACAAACGCTCTAAGGTGATGTTTATTTAATAATTATTCAAACTCACATATATTTAGAAATTGTCACCCCTCTCGGCACCAATTCCAGTTTAGACGGCGTGAATTGAGCGTTATTTGCGTTTCCGTCTCGCTGGCTCACCATTCGAATCTTACTCAGGTGGATTTATTCAACGGATGTAAGGGTATATAAAATATAACGTATCCTGCACAATAATACACTTTTCCTTGTCACTAACGGATACAATGGGGTTTCAAGCATTTCACGTTCACGGAAGATGAATATGATCATCATCAACGGAATATCACCTTAAAGGGTAAAATCGTTCCCAATAAGCGGGTCGGCCAGAGATCGTTAGCCAAGTTCAGAGGAAAGTTTTTCTCTTGAAGATAAAAACATCGAAGAGCGTCGACGTAGTTCAAAGTATCGTAAATAATCGTTGAGAGAAAGATTGAGAGGGAGGGAAATGGAGAGAAAGTAAAGATAAAGAAAGAGAGAGGGGGAGAATGAATGTATGAATATGAATGTACTATTACAATGAACGAGACAAAGAGGGAGAAAGAGAGAGGAAAAAAACTGCAGAAACTAGATAAAGGTAGGGTAGGAGCTTTGCAGACCATAAACCTTGCTCTGGAAGTACACTATGATGGTGGGACGTTTTCACACTGATAAATTGTTAAATAGTTAAACATCACTAGGATGTTCCTTTCTGAATTTGTTTTATTCGACTCGTCCAACGCTAATCAAATATCAATAAGATATCTCGGTAATTTTATCCGGCAGTGAACAATAATAACTGTAACAAGTTGAAGAATTTAAGGCCGGTTGGGAAAGATATCCGCGGGAGGGTCGCACTCTTTGCTAAATCCTCTTCTATCCTGATCTCTGTCCTTTGTCAAGGCTGAGACGTCTGACGATTGGCGTATTGGACTTGTTACAACAAATCTCTGACAAACCCTAGCCGAAATCAATTCCACTTTGGAAGGCTTAAAATGAAAAGTCTAGCTACTTTCTCTTATAGCAAAGAAAAGGACAGTGACATAAATAAAGTTAAATTGTCACTTTTATATCCTTATGTTAATTTTATTAATTAAATTAAAAAATTGCATAGCTCAAGTTTGATGTTAAATTTTTATCAATCCTATAAATCACCCAATTTAACTATATTGTTTGTTTTTAGTTGAGATAAAAAAGTCAATGGCACGAGCGGGATTCGAACCCTCGATCTTCGGCTTGATACGCCGCTGCTCTACCACTTGAGCTATCGTGTCCTCGATCCACTCGGACATCAACTTCCCATCTCAACCAAAGGAGGGAAAATTCAAAAGGTGTGGTTAAGATGGGAAGTTGATGTCCGAGTGGATCGAGATCACGATAGCTCAAGTGGTAGAGCAGCGGCGTATCTAGCCGAAGATCGTGGGTTCGAATCCCGTTCGTGCCATTGACTTTTTTATCTCAACTGAAAACCTTAATTAATATTAATATATTAATTGGTCAAGCGGACCACGAAACTAGTGAATTGTATTGTTTGTTTTTACCTGTGTACATTTCTCCAGGTGAATAGTTGCTCGGATTTCTTATGATCATGATGTTGTAATTGTCGTAAAACCTCGATTTGGATCCGATGGCTCCAGGAGGCCTGCGGTCGCAATCTTCGTCACTCGACGCCCCGACGAGCACGAGCGCCAGAACCTTGAAAAAAACAAAAACGGCCTATTTACAATTTTTGTAAACAAGAATTAATTGATCCGTCAGAACTGGTCATTTAGATTAACGAGTAAGCCCTTGACCCGGATTTGAAACTCGACCCGCAAACAGAATTAATTGAATATTTTGTTTGTGTGCTGCTCCTTACCAAGTTGGCCGGCGACTCTGTCTTATTACACCTTCACTCAAATGTCAAACTTTTGATTATACTCAGTTCAGTCAGAAATGGTTATAAACTGACTACTAACATAACACCATTAGAACGCATAGAAAATCCGACCATAAACTGGCTTCAATGTTGTCTCAAACCTAATGATATTAACCACCCATAACCATTTCCATAGTTTAGACCACAAGACCAGTAATTTATAAGCACATACACTCTGGTACTGCTGCCTCTAGGTCTTTTCTTCTTGTACAACTTTCGTTAAAGAATAATAAATGTGTATGTACATTCGGACTCAACGACCATCCAGTATTGCTTCATTTTGCAGTTTGGACCATTTTGCAAATTTGACCACAACCATACGCCTTTTTCTCGAACCAATGAACTCTTTTGTAATAAGTGTCCTATTGGATGATTTTAGCTCTTTGGAATATCAACACTTTGAATCAATGCTCAATTCTCAACTAAGATCTGAAATAAGAATGTACCTCATTGAACTTAGGGATGGTTAGGGAAATTACTACTTTCATTGAACTTCATTCTCGTGGATATGATAGTCCAGGCACAAGATCTTTGTGTTGATAATAGATAACACACACACACACACACACACACACACACACACACACACACACACNCACACACACACACACATATATATATATATATATATATATATACTTGACCTATCGTGAGTGGTTAGAGCAGCGGCGTATTGAGCCGAAGGTCTGAGTTCGAATCCCGCTCGTGGCACTCGTGGCAACTTTTTCATTTCAACCAAAACCTTACATAAAACGAATAATTAATTGAAAGAAGTAATTTGGTCAATAGACCACTAAATATAATGGATGTAACACTAATGTTTAGTAAGCACAGTCCGTCTGTGTACCAAATAGTTGAACTATTCACAATTGGACTCGATAATGGAAGCCATTATCTCCGTAATGACTCATGATAGCAATTTTTATGATACAAGAATGGGATCATAATTCGTTAATTTTCGGGTTATGATTTATCTAATTAGACATTCAGTCATTCTAACTTCAATGTTTTGACCACAGCTGACCCCATCAAATAGGTTTTTTGGGAAATAAGGAGGGCTAACCTGAATACCAATAGTCGTTTCTTTTGGTCATCAGTATTCACTAATTGTCTGCGTCTCGTAAAATATCCTTATCATTTCAAATTAGGTTCTTGTTGCACAAATTATAAGTGATGTAATAGGTTATGTGATACCACGTCCCTTGTACAACGAATGCAAGAGCGGTCGATTTGGACTACTCATTGTTTGAATCATTGATGACACTATCTATTTCAATGATGATCAGCGAGAATAAACTTTCATCGATAATGAAAAGCTCGATTTTCTTCATGTTCCTCGCCTTGTGCTAATTACCTGCGTGTAATCTTTCTTAGTATTTTTTGTCATCTATTTCTTTTATTTGTGATGATTAAGCAAACTGGGTAACGGAGTGGCGTTTATTTTCGTAATTGTATTTATACACTTGCCTGTATTTTGCACAAAAAATTAAATTTATTAGTTTTTAATTTCCAAACGTTGACCTTTTTCTTTTCAATGGGAATGTTTGTGATTCGCCACATAGTTTTTTTTCGGCATATGGTGAATGTAGCAATTAATATGGATGAGAAAACCTCGGCCCAATATGAATCGTCCCTAATTGGGCTTCTTGTTTAATTTAATTAAATTTCTCATCTAACCAGTAACGGTATCGGTTATGATTTCATCGGACCTCGGTCAAGCGGGACGCGGCGCGCCAACCCATCTTTTTTACGCCCCTATTTGAATTAAAATATTCAATGAGGACCCGATACAAATCCATACGCGCGACGACATTGCCCGGTTCCCCTGATTAAAGATCTTATGAATAAATACGAACCGGTATCCGGCATTTGCAAGCGTTATGTCCAATCGATGGGATCCCGCGTAACGCTTCTCTTCCGTGGGAAAGCACAAAAACGATAAAAACAGCCTGTTTCCACCATGTTTCATGAAAACGTAAATGGAAACATAAAACACCGAGTGGAGTGAGTGGTTGGTTTTTTGATAAAGAATGGCATGAATTTAAATGAACAGTGTACAAAAACGTCGTTCTTGCAGTTTAATGTCACTTTGGATCAATTCTGTACAAAAATAGCAGAAAGTAAGGAGAAAGTAAATATATCAAAACATGGTGTTTTGGATATATTTTTTATATTACTATTTATTTGTAGCCCGTACACATTAGTACACATTACAACTACGTGTGTATTTGTTTTTTTCTCTTCTCTGACACTATGGTCCCACAGCCCAACACCTAGACGAGAATCACATACAGGTAAAAAATTCCAACCAATTGATTTTTTTTCTCGATAAAAGAAAATTCACACTTAATCCTTAATTCAAAACAAGGTTAAATGATTTATCAATGTATACTTTTTATGGAATTTAAAATTTTTATTCAGTTTCATTTGAATTCTGAAGCAATAAACTGTTTAGTTTTCATCTTTGAACGCACTGCTCGAAGAAGATTAAATAAGTATGGACTGATGGCTTTTCGCCCCTTAAGAGGACCAGTATTGACCAGAACACACAGGGTTGCACAGCTCGCATTTGCTTGAGAACACAGCCATTGATCTTTGGGCGATTGCTCTGCTTTACTTTTTACAAATGAGTGTAGATTTGCGCTATCTCCAGATGAACGTGAAAGAGTGTGAAGAAGACGAAATGAAAGGTACGAAGTTTGTAATTTTACTCAAAGCCAACCTTTTCAACCCAGTGATGGTATGGGCGGAAATTTCATTGGAGAGTCGAACAGAGTAGTTTCTTGTCCGTGGAGGGTCTTCGACGGACACTCGCTATGCAGATGAAATGTTGGAACATAATGCGTTGCCTATCCTCGATTAAATCAGCGACAATAGTATTCTAATGCACGATAATGCCCGTCCGCATGTCGCTCGCATAGTACAAACGTACCTTCAACGGCATAACATCAGTGGTCTTAGCCTGGCCAACCCGTTCTCCAGGCTTGAACCCGTCGAACATTATGGGGTAACCTCAAAAGATTGTCAAGATTGTCTGATGCACTCCATGATCTTGAAAGGACTCTTCGTGAAGAATGGGCTAATCTCCAGCGAAGAGACATTTCCAGACTGGTAGAAAATATGCCGAAGCGAGTTCGAGATGTAATTAAGGCAAGAAGAGGAAATACGCAATATTGAAAAGCTAATTAAAAATTTAAAACAAAAATTATTCAGAAATCGTGAGATGCGGTCTGGTGTGATGTAGGTTTCAGAAAAACATTTTCTTTATCCTACCAACGTTTCGATCTTTATTGAGATCATCTTCAGGGCCTGGGATTTACAAACATTGTTTACATTTAACAAATACATTTAGGATGTTGAAAACTGAATTTATACAATGCAAAATATATTTTTTATATTCAATCGAAGTATTTCTACTTACTCAAAGTGTTTGTTTTCTGTGTAATTGTGACATTCTTGCGTGTCGTGTTGAGAGTGCCAGTGAGATTTTGCTGTTTTATGTTTACATACGTTAGATTTTGAAGGGGTGGGGAAGGAAGTCGGTATAGAAAAGACATTTTTGTATAAGGCGTCGGCTTTTTTGAAGTGAAAAGAGCCGACGAAGGGAAACAATGTGTTGGTAATGGTTCGGCCAGATTATCCTTTCAGGATTATATAGAAAGGGATAAATAGGAAAAGGAAAGCTAAATTGTTGGACAATTAGACTATGTGAAAAATATTTGATGTGTGGAATGTAATGTAATGATATATGTATGTTATCTATTCTGGAATGGAGGGCTCGAAGCCTTCGTTGTAAAGCAAACTGGCGGGTTCTCTGAATGAGAAAGTGTAGAGAGGCTTCGGTTTAGGGTTAGGATTGATTGAGAACATAGTATGAAAATTTTCGATCCGGAACAGTACATTAGGCAAAAGGAATGTAGAGATAGGTCTATAGGTCGATAGTCTTAAATCAATGAAAATGAGGAAATCTGTCATGCCTCACCCTGCTGGCAAGGCATGATGTCCTGCTTATATCATTGACGTCACTATTTTTAAGTTAACGGGTACAAAAAGACAATATTCCAGTTTAGTCAAAAGGAATAACGAGACTAAATTTATCCATTCCTTTCTTTGATACAGACGCAGTTGATGGATTAAAAAAGACAGGATATTCCTTCGCTTTGCTTTTAGTTTGCTTCCTTCCCAAGCTACCTGAAGGTTTTTCAAGTTGGTGTTAAAACCAAAATAAGTTGCTTCGTTCAGCCAGAATAAAGGAAGACGGTAAAGAAACAAAAGTGCATATCGTTTGGTTTCATACATGCTCAAATCGCAAGAATAAAGAATATTGACTTCCTTGCTTGACGTCACTCTATTTGATTAAAGTCCTTTCAAATAAATAAATACGTTTTTGAAGCTGAAATAAAGGAGCGATCTAAAATACTACGCATTTTGTTATCTTTAGGTCCATGGAAACTTAATTCAAAGAAATATGTCATGTTTCAACCTGCTTATATCCCTAACGTCAACATTTTTGGTTGCTAGGTTCTAAAAGCACAAGATTCTGTTTCGTTCACCAGGATACGTCGTTTCTTTGATACACACTCAGTTCACGTACATTAAAGAAAAAATAATGCTTCACCCCGTTTTTAGTTTTGATACCAAGCTACCAGGCAAAGGTTTTTTCAAGTTAGTTAAAAGTAAACTATGCTGCATCGTTTGGACAGAATAAAGGAACACGGTAAAGAAACAAAGTTGCATATCGTTCGGTTTAATACAGGCTCGCATCACATAAATAAAG